AACTAGCGACGAACTTAATACCGAAAAATCAGGAGAGGTAAATAGTTTTAATTATTCTGATACAATTTCTATATCAGGTCACAAGAAGGTAAATACTAATTGTTCTTCATCGTCTCATTTTTTATAATATGGGATAAATTTTTCTAAAGACAACGTTAAAAATGAAATTGTTGATATCCGACAACGTAATAAAAAAGCAAAAAAAGAACCTAATGTTGGAAATTTTGGTAAACAGTATGCGTTAGATACGTTTAATAAAATTTTTCAAAATTAAATAAAGTTTTTTCCGATTATCAAGACCGTATATCAATATATATGAATAAATTAGCCAATCATATTACTTAAAAATCTCAACTATACAACTCTAATAAGGATCTACATATACGTTTAGTTGACCAAACACCCCAACGTACGCGACTCCCATATAGAGGCATACCTATTTTATTACCCGTGCTCACAACCCTAATTTAGAATGTTTACATCTGCAAAATTCTTTATGATAAGTACATATTGCGTAGAGAAAGTGTCAAACACCTCACGTTTTGTCCTTCACGTTAAATAGGTTAGTATGAGAATGAACGATTATTTATTATATCAGAATATACGCATAAAAATTTATATAACCAATATTCTATTTTGCAGAAATAATTTTTTGTTAATTTCTAACGTGTAATAATAACAATACACTATGGTAAATGCAAGTGAATGGTTAAATCAAAAAATTCCAAAGAGCCAAAGAGAACAGACAACTCAACTTCGTATCTACAGATATTGTCGAAGCGGTCATACTACATATTACAATGGTTGTAATAATTGCAATAATAGAAACCAAGATCCTCATTCAGGCCCTCCAATTTATCAATTCTACAATACTATTTTGGAAGGAGATTTAGATCTTGGTGACTTTGTTAATTTGCAGCAACTATATATCTACGGTGTTCAGAACCAGAATCAAGATTTAAATTTAAAGATCGATAAATGTAATAGTCTAACTCGACTAGAAATTCATAATACTCAGTCAGTTAATATTATTCGAAAAACTCAAGACCTTAGTTTTGGTAATTTAAAATTAGCGATTGAAAAGACAAATTTAGATTATCAAATAGCTGTTTATTAAAAGTAAGTTGAAAGAAGATTATCACTTGTGGTTAGATCTTTTAATAGATACTCAACAAGAAGTTTTACAAAATGACGGCACATTTTCCCGAAAACAACTAGAGAAAGTTAAAAATAAATTGTCTAATGTGCTTACTATTGAGGGAATTCAGGAGTTATTACGTAAAAAGGTGGAAATTAATGATTTGGAAGTTCAATTAAATAATCTTAAAATTCGAAGAAAATACAGTATTTTTTAGGCTTCATCTTATTCCCTTTTATCTTTTACATTTACGTGGCTTTCTTTAGTTTACTGTCTTTACCTTTTGTTATCCTTGTAGCATTGTTATTCTTATCTTTTATGACTACCAATTTTTTACAAAATCTTATATACTCGAGTATCTAGATCATGCCTTAAATAGGATTACAAATAATTTTTCTAAATGAATTTTGTACAAAAAACTGGTTTCTTTACTTGCGCTTATCAAAACGCGTCAAAAAAATCAAAATAATAAAAGATTCAAAAATTGGTTTGTCAGATTTCCATATGATATGCTTAATTTTAAAGCACGAAAAAAATTTAGAAATTTACGATACACATGACTCTAGTCTCCCAATCTGCCCCCTAACGTGTCTTAAACCTATTCTAAATAACCCCAACCCCTAACCTTAACATCCCAATTGGTTAAAAATCACGAGGGGGGTAAAATTTTTTGTGGGATAGCAGATAGCTACCGTACATCTCCAGTAATAGACATTTTTATGTAAAGCATAGAAGCTAAC